GTTGCTGCTTTACCAGGTGTAACAATGAAGTTTAACATCCAGGCATCCATGAAAACATAATTTATTACATTTAAGAGAGTTAGAAGTTAGCAGGAAGTTAGCTCGCTAGCTTCCACCTAAACATGATATAGCATGTTCTGACTGAGAGATTTTATGAAAAAATTCAAACATACAGCTCTGCTATCACTTCCAACATAAATGAAGACAGGAAACTAAACAGCAGTGACGTTTGTAGGGTTACTGAAGTTGGGCTAGCTGGTATATAATGATGTGCTACGTGATCGCTAGCGACACAGCTATGTTAGCATAATATAAACATATAAACATAATCATAAAATGAAGCTGGAGGATGAACGCTAATGCTTATAATCTGGTGCGCCTTATGGTCCGAAAAATACAGTACACATGTTTTCCTTGAGATATCTTAGCATTAGAAAACGAAGTACAATTCCAACAGTATGTCTCAGTTGTTCTGCACAACACAGAAATGCTATTCTAGTAAATGAAAGAAATCTGTTACTACGACTCTCTGGGCTTAAACTGTGAAAATGAATAAATATGTAAAATTACAGGAGAAGTTCTGACAAGTCATTATAAAACAGGAAGTTTTTGCTAATTCACAGAAAACGTCCTTTTTTTGGACCCACTGTAAAAAAAAAAAAATTCCATAATAATGACAGGAAGACTTAACAGAAGGACGAGGCTCACTCAAGTGGTCAGGGGTGAGAGGAGGAAGAAGCCGGAGGATTCGATATGAGCTACATATCTGTCTGACATCATATAAGAACAGAGCTGTCCATAGTGAATTTTAAAGGTTAAAATTCAGTTTTAAATTCATGAAAACTGTAGTTATAAAGCAAAAAACATTCATTGGATTTTATTTGTTCAGCCACATAGCCATGTGTTAAAGACCTGCTTAAAAACATATCAAGAACTTGAAAACATAATTTGAAGCAAATTTCTTTCAGTGTTTTTGCGCATACACTGTGTGTGTGTGTGTGTGTGTGTGTGTGTGCATACAATCTGTGGCATTAACCCACAGCTGACCTGCTTTGAGTCTCTACTGGCAGAGGAAGACAGAGAGCTGACTGGGCTTCTGCTTGTCACAGTGCAGCCATTTCCTGCCGTGCGGGGGGAAAGCCCTGGTCTGTACCCTGCTGATGCTCAACAACACAGACACGCCAGCAAGGCACCAAACAGCTGTAAGGCTTCCTCAGTGATCACACACAGCACCACTCACCTCTGCCAGCAGAGTCACACTTCAGCCAGGCTCCCTCTAAAAGCCCAAACCTGCATCCCGTGACAGCTCTGAGCCAAGACTCCCGATTTAAGAGTAAACTGTGAGAGAACAGGACGTTCAATATTCTACAAAATCAGTGTATAGCACAGCAGTATCCTCCACAGGACTTGAGTATAACATATATAGAGTATCAGCTGAGGCATGTGTACAGTGGCTTAGACGTGCATGACTTGATGTTCATCCATCCACCAGTCGCCATCATCACCATCCCTCAGAAACATTGCATAGCAGTACAGAGATTAGACTCATAGACATAAACACAACAGCGCTCGACAACAATCCCACCTTGACCTTTCCACTCAGCTTAATTACCTTCAGTGGAGAAAATACAAGTTGACCGCCGTGTAATGCATTTGCATGCTTTGACTGAATTACACTGTGAAACAACTTCTCTGTTAGTCACCCCCAATTAAGCTCTGTGTTCTGATGATTATCACACCTGCAATGCAACCTCAACAAAGCTTCTCACAGAGACCCATTCAGGAGGGTTTCCTCTGTGGAAAGGCCTCCTGTTCAGGTTTGTATCCAGCTGTGCAGCTGATAATGGACTATATAAAAATGATACATTCGATTCTTTATTCTCTTTGTTTGTTTTGTTTGTGGTGGTGTAAAGGATGGAAAGGTTCCCTCACCTTTGACCCAGAACTGGGTAAATATTGAAGCTCAGTTAAAATTTTGTTTGCATTTTAAAAGACAAAAATATGAATGCTTGGAGAAAATGGGACAACTCTTGGCTAAAAAATAATGATTAGTAAGGATGCACAATTAGATCAGCTTTTAAATTGTAGCTAATTTCACTTTGTGAACATTATTATACCCATAACAACATCTGAACCGCTTCATTAACAGATATACTTGCAGGTAGCAGTGTGATCACAACTGTCTTTCTGAACTGACTTTATGAAAATGATATTTATTTAATGTCAGCTTTGACCCCTTTGACCCTTCACAGGTCTCTGAGGCCTTCAGCACTCTCTCTCTCTCTCACACACACACACACACACACACTGTATTAACTTACTTGTAGGAGCTGCCGCCTGAAATCTCCTCTTTGATCTGTCTGTTCACGGCGTCCCTCCCTCTGCCCTCTCCTTCCCCCTTCAGGACCACTTTCTTCTCCCCCTCCTTCTTGCTGACGCGCTTTTTCCTCTCCTGGCCCTGGAGCAGGTCCTTCTCCTGGACCTTGTCGGCTATAGCGCTTTTTTCAACGCC